CCATTTTTCTAGTGTTCAATTTTGGTACCAATACTTATGAGAGTATCGATACCAAGGGTAGAGTATCAATACTACTCATTTTTCCTTTAATAAAATATAGCCGTAGAGTATCGATATCCTGAGAGGAATATCGATACTCTAGGGATAGTATCGATACCAAGAGGCTTGGTATCGATACTAGTGTACATTTTTGGACATGAAATTCAAGGTACTTTAAAATAGAGATGAGGTTTCTCAAAAGCTCTATGATTACTTTCAAATAAGACTATAAGTGAGAACAAGAATAATGTTTAATTACAACTAAAAACGAGATCAATTTTAGCATAAAACTAGCCTTGTTTGAATACTCGGGAAATGATCAGGACACCCGGGTTACTTTAGTAAGTGATAATAATATCGAGAAATAGATTCATTCTAGATATCCTTAGGTAGTGTGTGAGACACTTTAAACTGACTAACTAGTGTCGAGGTCTGACACTCGCGAGGAGTGGCTTAGTCGAGGGTGTTGTGTCCGATGTAGAGATTCTGGGTCTCATCCTCGGTAGACTAAAGGGGTGCGAGAGCTCTGAGATGCAGAACCCTCAGTTGCACCATAATGTCTACCATATAGTAAAGAGTGAGTATACGATTATACTCACTGTTGTAGTATACTTGATAGCTTGAGCATTTGATGAGCACGTTTAGTATGGCTTAGATGTTAGTGTGGCACTGGGTGAGCTCAACTTTTGGAATTTGTTTCCTTACGCAAATTAGTAGGTGGAGCAGTCGAGGAGCCTTTTGAGCAGCCGAGATCCAGACCGAGTTCAGAGCAGATTACGTCACGAGTATTTCTTTAGAGAGCATGTATATTTATAGACCTTGTATGGATGTTCAAGTTGTCACTTTATTTGAAAAGTTGGCTTGTATATTTTGATATATTTTTTTTACGAGTTCCCAATGTAAAACTTTATTTATAATTTATGGATGAATTTCTTTATTCAAAATGGTTTTAAAATGGTCGTTTTAATTGAGAAGTTAAGAAAAATTTTGAGTTGCCACTCAAGTGGTTCCGTGTGTCATTTCTAATCGGTCGACTGTGTATCATACTGATTTAGGGTATTACATACTATAACAATCACCCTATGCGAGTAAATAATTTTTCCAACCTTTTATATGAGACAATTTTTTCCAAAACATTATTTGGACAATTTTACCGACTTATATTACTTAAACTTTATTTATAGTATTTGGTCTTTAAATAAGGACAGATGTAAAATTTTATACTAGAGATACTAATTTAAAAAGTTAAATTTAAAATTTAAAGAATATAAAATTATAAAATTTTATAAGATGTAAAATTAAATCGTCAATAAAATATACAAATAATATATTTAATTTATATAAAAAAAAATTAAATTTACAAGGAGATATGATAATCCTCTAACACCTTAATCTATCATAACCTTTAAACCTAAACAATCACCTTTACCTTGCCTAGGTTTCATACCTTGCTAATAGTTATTGGTTTCTAAATTATTTTGCAATTATTAGCTCAATTCACCATACAAAATCAAAGCTTTTAAATATATGCATACATACTTTTATATAGGGAGAATCTAAGTACTCCAAATATTCTTAAAAGGATAATAATAATAATAAAATTATCAAAGTAAACATTATTGGAGAAAATTTTGGAACCGTCAAACCAATTGTTGCATTATGTTTTATCTTATTTTATTGTTTGGCATAGCTAGGTTGCACTTTATACACATGCTTCCAAGAAGAAAGCGGGGTTATTGCTGTTCATTAAATATCAATTTGGTCAACACATTTTCAACATTTGACTACTTAGTCCTCACATGATTAACTATCTCATCTTCACCAACTTTATTTATTTGACAAGTGCATATATACTTAGCCAAGTATTATGAGTCCAATTTATATGAAAACAAATATCACTATCATCTTTAATTTAGACCATAAACATCTTTAAAATAGTTGAAAGGATAATATTTTTATTCAGTTTATTTAATTTAACATGGAAACAAATAAATATATGTAAAGGTATATGCAACTCACCATCTTTTGAGAATTTTAGTGAAAACATTTAATGCCTTGGACTGTACAAATATTATACTCAGAACTGATTCAAGATCAAGAAGGCCCCATTTCAAACCAAATTATTTAGGGGGAAATCTAAAATTGATTCAATCAACATAAAAAATAGGGTAAATTATACATTATTTAGTACTTAAACTATTAGTTTTGGTCCATTTTAGTACCTAAACTTCCTTTTTTTTTTCAAAATCATACATAACGTTTAGTTTTTGCTTCATTTTAGTACCCCTGTCGTTAAAAACATAACCGACGGACTGACGACGCATAGCTCCAGTGGACGGATGACCGATCCGAACGGTGCACCACGAGAGAATGATGAGTCGACCAACATAGTCCAATTTCAGGCCCATTGGACGATTGACGATGGAGATCAGAAGATGAAGAAATCGAAGAGTCCATCGTTAATTTGGAGAGATTGAATCATTCTCCGATGAAACGGAGGCCAAAATTATGTTAAAGGGGTCAAAAAGGTGAGAGTTGAAAAGTTATTAATGGCTGCCAACTGTAGATGCGGCAGCCGGTGAGCCCATCCGTTAAGTTATTAACGGCGGGTACCAAGGTATGATTTTGAAAAAAATTAAAAGTTTATGTACTAAAATGGATCAAAATGAATAATTTAGATACTAAACTCGTAATATACCCTAAAAATATGGCATTTGGTGTTCAATACAGGAAACTGGTACAAACGACAGCATAACAATAAAACGAAAATCTCGAAAATCAAAAACCTAAACAAAAGGAAATTGAAAAACCTAGAAACCTATCTGAAAAACAAAAACAAAAAAACAACTTCAGCAAACCAAACGATGATCACCTCCCGTCCGGAGAAGAAAGGTCATCGACTGATATTAAAATATAGTTGTAACATATAACAAACATATCTGACATGAAAAGAAATAAAACACCAAACTCCAAACTCAGCTCAATGCTGTTGAACTGTTAAACCGACAGTCTAAATATAACGTTGTTAAACCAGTTGGATAAAGCTTGTAAGGCTTAAACTGACCGATTAATCGATTAAGTCTGTAATTAGTGAGCAGGGTTGAATGATGATGATTGCCAAGTGGCATGGGGGTATTTTTGTAGCAAAGAAAGCCAGAGTTTCCCCCCAGTAATAATGTAGGGTAGAAAAAGAAATGCTGCTCTTTTGCCTTTACTCCCAGGCTTTGATCACTTTTCAATGCTGTTTTCCGTAATTAACGTACCATCATTTAGCAGCATTGCAGATACAATATTATAGAACCCCCCCCCAACCCCACAATAAAAAGCACATAAAAGAGTGATGATAAACCTATGATCCTTTGAATGTTAAGCTAAGCTTTGGCTACCTGGCTACGATGATTATGTTTGTCCACATTGATAAATGGACTGGACCACCTACTGCTTCTACATTATTATTATTAAGAATTTTGGTATCCGTTAGTTATAAGAATTCTAGTTACGTTTGAAGTCGAATGACACTTAAATCATTAAATAAGGTTCAAAGTTTTTTCTGTATTATATTTTTCATTTATAAGACTCGAATTCAAAATCGGTTCAATTCATGGCAGCTAGCTTATCTGAAAAAACATAAGTACATGACATGTATTGTTTCTTTGCTTATTTGTAAGAACATAAAGTCTCCATAATTGTGTTTTTTGGCTTGTTCTCCACCCTTAGTTAAGTAGTGTATGAAATGTTGTTTTGTGAGTGATAATGTTAATGAAATGGAAATGTCATATTCAAAAGTGTGGTGGGCTTGAATTACGAGCAGAAGCAGAGTCAATATTTGTTGAATCAAACTCAATAATTGACCCAAAGAAATGAAAGACAAGGAAATTCAAACCTTGGGGTAGATAATACAGCTCTCTGCCTGAAGTTCAATAGGAGCAAAGTGTTACGTGAAGCAGAGAAATGGAAGAAGGGGGGGGAAAAAGAGAAGGGGGGGGGGGCTGTTATGCTTGTGAACCCTTTACCTTTAGGCTCAATGGCAGCTGCTGCCTTTTCTATCCTCTACAAGGACCTACCTTCTTCATCCTTTTTACTTACTCTATATATATAGATAGATAGATTTTATATTATTATTATATATTTGAATTTTTCTTGTCAAAGTTGACATTCATCTAACTCTTCCATAAATCTTTTTACTTTTTACACGATATGAACTATGACATGGGCATAGGAACAAAATACAAAAAAATATCTAAAATATACACTAATATAAAATTTTCAGAGCTAGCATCTAATTACATAGTGCAAAATAATTGGATGAGGGGAAATTAAAAGTTGAGGTTAACAATGAGAAATGAAAAGATACTCGGTAGAAAAAAAAATAACTTTATAATTTCAATTTAATTTTACATCATTTTAGGATCGTTCAATCAGAGAAAATCAAAAGTTGGGATTATATGTGGAAAATGAAAAGATACTCATCGAAAAAAATACAAAGAGTTAACCTCAACCTTTGATTTTTCCTAATCCAACGATTTTAAAAGGGTATAAAACTTGGTTTTACACTAGGTGTAAATAGATCTCTCTCTCTCTCTCTCTATATATATATATATATATATATATATATATGGTAATAAGATGGAATTTGTATTCCAGCTTGAAAGATATATTCATATTCCAGCTTGAAAGAGGCCGTCATTTGAATTACTTGAACAAAGATTCATAACAATAATCTGGAATGAAAGGAAAAACAAGCCTCTGAGGAATCTCCGTTCCTGTAGCTGAAAAAGAAAATTTCGTTATTAATCTTACAGTTGACAAAAGAATCATTAATCTCCCCACCCACTGAATTAGGGTACAATTTCCCTTTTTTTTAAACGAAAAAAGCTTTATTTTCTAAAATAGTTTGTATGCCACATTGAGCGTTTCTGTTATACAGATTTCTAAAAGGTATACAGCGCTCTTATCCACCCTTTTTTTTCCGCTTTTACCCCTTTCCTATTAAAGCTACTGACTGCGAGGTTTATGCTCAACAACATTGCCGTACTGCTGCATCGCCACGACAGGCTCGCTGCATCTGGAACACCGGAATGAGGGAACCGCGGCACATCGTGTTCTAAGGCAGTAGTAGCAATACCTGTGAATATCAAATTGTATCCAACTATAAGTAAGCGATATATGAAAATTGTTCTTAAAACACTGAAGCACCGGAGCTGTTTGAAATTCAAATGCATTTCATGGAAACTGCTGTCAAGAGTAGTATTCAAATGATGTACCAAGATTCACAGTGGCAACATGAACATGTCAATATTTTAGGAAGCTCCGAATAATAAAACGCATTTAAAGCCAATTTATTCATAACTTCGGGCAATACGGGGCCTCATTTCTTTTCAAAATTAGGCCCCATAAAGTGGCAAAACAAAGTTCAAGTGTTCACGGCATCACCGTGATATAGTAGACGAAAAACTAGAAGGTTATATGAGAGGGGTAGGAGGGGATTTAGTTCACCTACCGATGCTGGCATGGGAGAGCGAGATAAGCGAGTGTTGGACTTGCCCGACAAATGGGACAAATAGAGTCATCCTCTTTAGAGCTTGAAGATTTGTCCTTTGAGAAAGGGTGAAGAAAACTTTTAACAGTTGATGAGTTAAGAAGAGGGAGAAGCAGCAACAGCATCTCCTGCATAATAGCGATGTAAATATAAGTACTAAAGTACATTCACTGCAGAAGAAAAAAGAAGTCATCTGGTAATCCATGTCAATCCAACCAGTCACAAAATAGATAGTAAAAGCTCGATCTTAGCCAAAATGCTGGGAAAGGTACAACATGTTAATAAAACAAAACAAAACTTCTATGCTAACTAGCTACGTTGGCATGGAACAGGAAAAAGAAGGATCGCATCATGTGCCATCGCTGAGGTAGACCCAAAATAGTAAACAATTGGGTTATTCTCCCTTTTTTTTTGTACACAGGCTATTATCCTATAAGATAAAGCCATTGGAGTTTAAAAACTTCATGAGAAAAATTACATGCTTTCGTCATCTCCCTAACCAAATTTGCTAAGTTAATAATAAAGGGTTGACTTTATTCTTCGAAGTTAAATGGAGTCATGCAAGACACATTAGCATACTTGTGAAGTTTTTAAACCCTGCTGTCGGGATAAAGGTTTCAGTCTAAAAAGATATTTTCCGGTTTTCCTTATTAGAACTCGTTATATGTTCATTTATCTGGAATGGTGTCTCCCATCTCTTCCTAGTAATATTTGTCTATTTCTCCACAATATGCACCTCACTTGATATCTTATACTCTGGTAACACAAGCCTATAGACAAATATTAATGTCCATCTTAAAAGTAAGTTTATGTACAAATCTACAAATTGAGCATTTAAATATACAAGGATTGAGATGCTGGCTTTAACAAGGAAAGATTACCGAGAACTCATTCCACACTAACTGGCGATTCATGTACTCAAAACTAACGGCTCGATTCATAACAGGGCTCGTGTAGACAAGCCTTGCTCTTAATGCTCTTTCAATAAGGCTTCTATACCTGCATTAAAACAAGAGGTGGAGTTAGATCAACCCTGCCAAAAGGCTATCAGAGAACAACAAGGTTTTACAAACCAGCTGAAAGTTCCCTAACCGTCAAGCATAACAAAATAAGGTAAATATATATCAAAGCAAAAACGGATGAAAAGATCAGTTTCATGCAGTGAAGATGACAAACGGAAAACTTGGGAATAGCAAGATAAATTACTATGCTTGCTAAAAGTGGTTCAACTCTCTGATGAGTTCATTTTCCTACACTATCAATGAGATTCAAATAAATATGAGCTTCAACATCTATAAGTCTACCTCTTACGAGTATAAACCCTTCAAGGCCTACCTTCCGGTGAAAAGAAATACGAGTAGGTTCCCAAACGATGCAGCCTTGTAAAGCCCTTCTATACGTTGCATCAAACCCCAAACTCGTTGTGCTAATGGCCTCTGAAGAAGAAAGGAAAATTCAGTGTTGACTTTAAACAGAGTCCAAATTCTTCCCAAGAGGAAGAACACACAGAAAAAGAAAAATGGAACTTAAATCAGCACCTGCTCAGAATCACCCCATCTGCGGAAAGCAGAGAATGACTGTAAACGGGCCCAAATGTACTGACCACCCACTGCAGCAATGCAATACCACATCTTCTGAGCAGCAGTTAACCCACGCCCTTCCAGACCTGTTCTTACTGCAGAAGGATACAACTCGGTTATCACACCATACGATTTATACGTAGACAAAGTGGGTTACTAACAATGCTCATACAAGAGCAAGACTCTCTTGTAGCTCAAAAAACATAGCATAAAAATTTTCAAAGATCTATGTATCTTCATCTACATGATAAACAAGTAAAAAAAACAAAGAATTGAAAGCCAACTCTTATCTTATGTAGTAGAATACGAAAGAGAAGTCCAGACCTTCTTACCATTTCCTCGTAATGCCATAGCACGTTCATCTCTATACCTCAGATTCATAATTGCAATTCCCGGAGTTGGCTTATCTACCCAGATTGAAAACCTCCAAATGAGGAACTCAAGGAAAGCATCGAGTTCTGGTTCATACTGAAATAACATTCCTGGCTAACCCCCAACAAAAAAGAGAAACAAGATCAGACAACTGCAAAGTGCAATTTCATTCTCTATACACCGTCAAATATGAATGTATTCAATAGCCATAAAACCTTCATCAAGGAGAAAACTTTAACCAGCTGTTCTTTCAACATGGCTGACATCTCAATATCCAATCTAGAAGCATCAAATTGATTAACTCTAGATATTGGTATCGGTAAAGCGGAATGCTGCAGTAATTTACCAAAATATGTTCATAAGATAACCAACAAAAGTTCAAATAACAACACAAATGGAGCAACCATGAAAAAATTCCCAGCTTGCAATTGGTTATTGATCTTAGTCTATACGCCAATGAACATAAAGACTAAAATTTATCATTAAAGCCTTCCATATATATAACTAGAGAACTAAAAGTTCATATATTTGTTTTCATCATGATAATGCAATTCCATTCGACTTTAGAAATTTTATTCCTTGATACCCAAAAACCATTCCCCTTACCTAAAAAGAAAATTAAAAACTTCCCAGAAAATTTCCAGATATCAATTCAGTAAAAACAAGATCCCCGAGGATTTTAAAGGGAAACTAGGGTGCCCTAAAACATAATATTTTGCAGATTGTTTTTAGGAAATCATCATTTAATCAAACAGATAAAAGAAGAATAAGAAAGGGGTAATTTCTTCTTCTGTTGAACTTTCAATTAAATTAACAACAACAAAAAATTACCTGGTGAGAAAGAGAAACAGAGTGCCAGTGAGGAAGCAGCCTTCGGTGAGAAGCAATCCAAGCATCTTCTTGTGGTGGTGGTGCAGCTGGGGATGGATTGCTTCTAACACTCATCATTATATGAGATTATAAAAATGGATTTCTTTCAAATTTTGCAATTTGATTCGATGAGATTTATCATTAATGTGTTGCTGGAGTCTTGAAGATGTGGTTCATTTACCCCCTTTTTCTGGGTTTCTGCCCTGTCTCGGAAAGTGCAGCTAAAATGCCTTGAGAGGTGGCCTTCAGTCGCACCTTGCTTGTTGACTTGTAACAGTAAAAGTACCTTAAAATCAAAATTTAACTACCCTCAATAAAGAGGCATAATATTAAAACAAAGTAAACTATAATAGTGACCACCCAACTATAGTTTCTTTTTATTTTAATCATTATTTTTGAATTTTTATCAATCTGGTCACCCAACTATTTAAATGCATTCAATCAGGCCACTTGTCGTTAGCAGTTAATGGAAGTGCTGATGTGAAAGTTAGAAAAATTAGTATAATTACATATTTGGTCACTCTTACTTATATATTCTATCAATTTGGTCCTAATTTTAATAAATAAAAATAAAATTAATCTTTTAATGGAATGGTGTCATATATCACTATTCTATTTCATGATTAAATTTAGGGTAATTTATGTCAAATCCCACTCATCTTTATGCTCGTGATCGAAAATGTCACTAACGTTTCAATTTTGCTAATTTTAGTACGGACGTTTATGTTTTACTCCAATTAAGCCACCCCGCCGTTAATCCGTTAACGACATGATGCATGGCATGGACGGGCCGTGACGGTGATGACGTGGATGCCTTACCAAAACGACGTTGTTTCAACATAACTATTTTGATGCTCAATAAAGATAAAACGACGTCGTTTTGCTTGAAAAACTTATTGAAATATTATGCTATTAGAGGGATTTAAACCCCAAACCCCTTAAAATTAAACTGAATGCTTAACCATTGAACTACATTATATTTTTCCGTTATCTTTTCTATAAAAGTTTTAAAAATTTTAAAACTCCAATTAATAATGTTTGAACCCCAAATAAAATTGTTACACGGTCGCACAGATAATGAGATAAAAAATTACTGGAATACCCGTATTAAGAGATGCCAACGTGTTGGGTTACCTCTGTATCCTCCTGAAGTGTGCCTGCAAGCACTGCATGAGAACCACAGTACCAGTGAAGCTAATAGATTGGATAAAGGACCTCATGATATTGTGCAGAATAATAGCTATGAGATACATGATGTCATATTTGACAGTTTAAAGGCCAATCAAAATGTGATGCCTTATGTTATTGAGCTTCCTGTTATATCTGCTAGCAGTATGCCGATGAAAGGTCTGTGTTCTTCTCAATATTGTGATTTCATGCCATCAACAATCCATCGCCAGAAGCGTCTTTGAGAATCATCAACCTTTTTCCCTGGTTATATCGGTGCTGTTAAAAATGAATGCTACAGCAATTGTATAAACTTCCGTGAAGCTTTTTTTATTTGTTTCATTCATTTCATGATTTGTTTGATGTGGATAGTCAATCGAACCTGGTGAGTGAAAGTTCATTTGCGGTTGAGATCATCGAAGGGTACGAGTCATGGATGTTTTTGGTCTGTTGTCTATGATTTTTTTTCTGTCAAACTGTTGAATGCGTGTATGCCAACATGAACTCCGAGGTATACAAATGCATTCGAGATATTATAACTTTTAGAATAATTATGAACTTCCAGCATGGACTCTCCAGAACAAATGGTTTTCTATTTGATGCATTGTGTATGCCTTAACTGAAATGCTTATTTGTGTTGGGGTTGTTGACGAGGGAAACACAGTTCTATTTCATTGCTAAGTTTCAAAATCTTTGTTTCTATTCAAGCTTATTTGTGTTGGGGTTGTTGACGAGGGAAACACAGTTCTATTTCATTGCTAAGTTTCAAAATCTTTGTTTCTATTCAAGCAAGAGTTACTCAAGTTAAGCATTAGAATATTCGAATTTGATTTGTTCAAATTATTGAAATGACCAAGACGAACTTCCCCATTGCGTTGTAGTAATTCTTTGATCACAACGAAAAGAGCATTACCTTGATAACTCAAGGTAGAATTCAGAAGCCCACCAATACCCTCAAGGTTATCATATTCCAATTCTATTCGTCTATATCCAAGTCTCTATGCACGTCGAAACGCATCACATATCGCCCACAACCTTGCATTCAACACTGAACAATTACTTGTACTTCGAGAGGAGCCAAAGAGCCAGTCACCTTGATCCAAATGAAATACACAACCTACAACAGCTTGGTCATCAACTATATCCACCGCAGCATCAGTGAATAGAATTATGAATAACACCTTCAATTTCTTTCGTTTAATCCATACTCGGTTTCAGGGACTGAGTTATTCATTAGCTCGGGGGCAGTTGGTGTTACGTTGTTTTCACCGCCAATCTCTTCGATCATGGCAGATCCGATAGTCTCCGTTGCTACTTAGGTACTTTCCACTGGAGTGGCCGTATTGAATCATCACCGCCGTCGACATTGGAGTTCCATTGGGAAAAAGAACACATATTTCACGTTATTGCGAAAGTTTACGACGATAACAAATGCCCCAGTCGCAAATTCTACAATACCTTTGAAAACGATGATGATTTAACTCCACCTCCAGTGCCTCCCAACACGGTAAAGAAAAAACGACGATGCAAAAAAAGGAAAACGACGCTGAAAAACCAGATGAGCACCACGTCGGTCAAGAGCGGATTCTTTACCAGAGGAAGCTTTGAAGACTATGGTATTAACGACAGAGAAACAGAAACCCTTGTTTCATCTTCGAGGACCTTCTCCACTGATTCCCCCTTAGAGATGTTCAACACCGACTTAAAAATTATACCAGAAACAAAGCCTACGAGGCAAAGCAAGAAGAAACCAAAGAAAATTAAGAAGATACCGTGCACGGTGAATGACAGAGTGAGGGAGAGTTTTGTGGTGGTGAAGAAATGTGAGTTTTGTGGTGGTAAATCTCCAACTTTTCTCAGGTAATACAGATGCTACGTGGACTAAATAACTTTAAAAAAGTCGTCCACGTCATCACTGTCACGACATTGGCCCGCCATGTCATCTGTCGTTAACAGATTAACGGCGGGTGGCTTAATTGGAGTAAAACATAAACGTCTGTGCTAAAATTGGCAAAATTGAAACGTCAGTGGCATTTTCGATCCCGAGCATAAAGATGAGTGGTATTTGACATAGATTACCCTTGAATTTATTTATTTATTTTAATTTAATTTTTACGATCTAACAAACATGAAGAATGGTTAGAAATGGTAGTGGCAGAGGTTGATGACGTTCTCGGTGTCGTTTACTCACCTCCCATCATCTCTAATATCTCCAAATTCTTCGCCTCACTCCTCTTCTTCCCTTTGAAGAGATGAGATTTCACGTTTCTTTGCGTCAGCATCTCCATTGAAGAGTTGAGTTTAGGTAATTCAATAAAGGAGGCAATTCCTAAAGTTTTAAAGAAAGAGTGTCAACGAATGATGGACTAAGGGAATTGAGGAACACCTATTATAATTAACCTCACATGATCACTCAGGAATTTTATCTTTAAACCGATATTTTCAATGTTGCCTATCTAAAGGAGTTTGTGAAGCTTGAACATATGGAATATTCATAAAACCAAAATAGAAGTACTCTAAAAGGTCTAGTAATTGAATATGTTGGTTGCATAATTTTGTCATCATCCGGTTGGAATGTTAAGCTGACATAGAGAAGCATGTCACCGTGTTCACAAGGACCAAGAAAGGAACAACATCTTGAGGGAGAGAACCATAGAAAAATTAAGAAGCCAACCTAAAATCAACCTGCCAAATCTTTACACTTGTCAAAGAATCATAACTTTGAAAGATTAAAAGCGTAATTAATTCTTTTGATATCTAATGAATTTTTATTTTATGATTTGTCTCAATTGTGAACCCTAAAGTAAGAGCAACATTTTTCAAAATTCTTTCATCAAATATTTTTCAAAGTTCTTTCATCAAACATTTTTCAAAACTTTTTCATTAATCTTTTTTAACTTTTGAAAATAAAAAATTAGGAAGAAAAACATTTTCAAATAAGATAATCTCTTTATAGTATATCTTAAAGATTAGCAAATGTCTCTCAGGCATAGAGCTTAAAATTAGAATTTAGGGCAAAGAGAAGCAACCTTGGGGGGCAAAGTTTGTCAAGGCGTGAGAATATGCTACTGGGAGCTAAGAATTAAGAAGGTACCTTGATGAGAGAAAATGAAGAAGATTTAGTCAAGAAGATAATAGGGACTTCTTGAGCATCTATTTGTGGCCATTGATCAAGAGTTGTACATCAACACCATTGATAGGCATTTTACATGAACATGAATATGTGCATCATTCATTATTTCATCAAAGCAAGGAAAGGATCTTTTATTTCTCCTCTCATAAGGATGTCTTTAAAATCTATTTTAAGAAATCATTTTGTCTTTCTTAAGATTGTTTTCCTAGAGACTTCAACTTGTTTGTGTCGTCCAGGGGAGTCAACTAGCCTTTCTTAGGATCATTTCTCTAGAAATTCGTTTTTGTCTTTCTTAAGATTGTTTCCCTAGAAACTTAAACCTTACTATCTCGTGCAGAGGAGTCAACTAGTCCTTCTTAGAATCATTTCTCTAGAAATTTGTTTTATTCTTTCTTAAGATTGTTTCCCTAGAAACATCAACCTTGTCTTTCATAAGACTGTTTCTCTAGAAACCAACTTTTTTCTATTTAGGATTGTTTCTTTGAAAATCCTGATTTTTCTTTTTTAAAGACCTTTCCACACTCTTCAATGAGTAAAGATAAATGAATCACATTATTTCATTCATGAGAGCATTATTCAGATAACAAATATATTGCACTTTCAAGATGAGCATTTTTACAGATTTTTTAAGAAAACTAAAAATTTATGGCAAGAAAACCTCATGAAGAGAAATTCAAATTTAAAGATGGAGGATATCAAACAAAAGTAATTAGTTCATAACCTCCAAGATAGAGAAGGTGAAAAGTCACGAGATTCAAGGCAGAGCTTAATATATGATCTCTCCTAGAGAGCAATAGAGTAGATCTTTCTTTTAGATTTGATGTTTCCTGAAGAGTAGTGAAGCAAATCGACCTCGATTTAATCTTCCATGAAGAACAGTGAAGTAAATCAACATTTCCAGATCTAATCTACCTTGAAGAGCAACATAGCAGATCCTTTTTTCATATTTGATATTCTCTAAAAAGCATTGGAGCAAATCAATCTCGATTCAATCTTCCCTAAAAACAGTGAAGTGAATCTAAGTTTCCATAGCTAATATATCCTGAAGAGTAGCGGAACAAATCCTTTTTTCATATTTGATCTTCAAAAATCTCTCTTAAAATATTATTTATTTTGAGTCTCACGTGAGACAATATCAAACTTCAAAGCATAGATGGAACCAGACAAAAACTCATTGTCTCTTCGTCTTTACCATATTCTTGTTAACACAAAATAATTAAAGATGAACAGTTATAGACACCCGTTTTTATCTAGATTTTAATTATCTTTTGTTTAGTTATTATTATTATTATTATATTAATATTTAATTATATTATTATTTTCTTATTATTATTATTATTTTGTAGGGCATTACAAAGACTTAACTATATACAAACTAAAATCCATTTACCCAAATAACCTAACCTGGGTCTAAAACCAAACCAAACCAAACCCTAATTCTAATCCTATCCTAAAACCCTAACCTAACTTAGCAATCTTTCACCGCCGCTAGTAGAGGAGAAGAGCAATCCGCCGTCGTAGAAGTAATCATCATCACCGTTCAAGCCATTTCTGTATCACCCCTAACTCATATTCGACTCGAATACAAGTTCGAGATGTCACATTGACTTTTCAAACTTGAATTCTAAAAAAAAATAATAGAGAAATTTAAAACTTTCATTAAAACAAAATACTTCATTTTCATAAAAGAGACCATTTAATACAAAATCGACCAGAGCATTCGTAATTAACCACTTATTACATACCAACAATCTATACACAACAAAATACCTACTTTGTCAATTACTTTTGATCTGATTTCTTAGTAATGTTGATGTTCGTGCCACTTCTATTCTGAATCTTCTTATTTATTGATACCTACGTGTAAATCACTTACACGCTAAGTCATAGACTTAGTGAGGCAATAAATGAATATGCAACAAGATCTTCATGAATATGCATTCTTAACATTTCCTTCATGACATTTCAATATGCATGTATATATTACACAATAACATATATAATCATATCATGCATGTACGAAACTTACCTTATTGTACCACTTTAACTTTACTTTGTATTTCAATTGCCCATGTATATTATTGAGAATAGAGGTATGTGAGTACATTGAGGTTGTGCACTAATGCTGTCACCACAGCTCGTATCAATTCCCTCATGGGGCACCGAACTTTAGTTCAGTATTCATCCCGAAGGACTGTTATATATGTCCCGTAGGACCACTACATCCCGAAGGACTACGTCCCGAAAGACTATTATACCCTCGACTCTTGGCATGCCAATTACACCTATAGCTCTCATATCGTATACCATGGGCATTATTCTTATATTTCATATGTTCATGTACTCATGTCATTTCTCTTGTGATCATGTAGCTCATGTCACTTACTTCATGTCATGTTCTCATATCACATATCATATCATAAGTGTATTTGAATCTATTCATATATATATACATCATTTATCTAATCACATGAACATATATATGCCTTATGCATGTATTACAATAATTATCATGTATGCATGTTCACAACTATTGTACTATGAAAATCAATATAGGGATTAGACTTATCACAAGTCTTATTCCATTATATTATACATATAGTATGCACTCACCTTAGCTTTGCTTTGATTCGATTCTAATCCTTTGATCATTCCAGAATAAGCTTACTTTTAGTATCTACATAATCACACATGGATCTATATTAGTATTATAGCTAATATACTCTAATGGTTCACTCTTTAGATTAAGATAAATGCCAATTTCCTCTTTTAATGAAGGTATGCATCGATGCACTACTTGTGCATCGGTGCATAAAATGCATTCGATGTTTTATTATTAATAGAATGCATCGATGCATGCCTTATGCATCGATGCACTAATTGCATTTGATCTTTTTATTTTAAAAGAGTGCATTGATGCACTACCTGTGCATCGATACACCTTCAAACAATTTCTGGGTTTTAACCTTGATGAATCGATGCACTATGAATATGCATCGATGCACTATGAATATGCATCGATGCACTCTGCCCAGAATCCTCTTTTTGAACCCGAAAATTCATTCATTTTGTATTAAATCCTTCATGTTTAATCCCCTTTTTCATTCTTAACTCTAGTACACATCCTTAAACCAATTTATACTCATTTATTTCATCTTAAACCTCCAAATCCTATCCCTCATATGTAATTCAAGAATTACATCAATAATTCAACATGTTTGAATTCCACTTTTAACACTTCGTATATCTTAACTAGATTGATGACAAGTCAAATTTAACTTTCAATTCTAGTTATGAACTCTATTCCAAGATTTCATTTAAGAACTTCAAATCTTAAATCTCTCCTAACTCCATCATCCTTTGATGTTAAGATAACTTAAGCTTTCCTTAAGCTTAATTATCATCTAATAATCAAAAACCAATCTTAAATTTAACAAGAAACTTAATAATCAGAAATCTTACCTTTGCTTTGGTTCACACGCACAAGGAAGAAAGAAGAAGAAGAGAACTCTGGAAGCCTTGGGTGTTTTCTCCCCTTCCACCCACGTGTATCCTTATATATACTTATCCTTTCTTTAATTATTTTTCCTTGCAATTACTCTATTGTCCTTCCATTCCTTATTCCTTTCAATTCCATCCTACACAATAATTTACATGTAAATCTTTATACTATTCATTCATTTTATTTTAACCACCAAATTCTGAGACTTTACAATTTAGTCACTAATCCG